CCAGTCCTCAGGTCCCCTTCCCACGCCCTCCGAGTCTACCTATTTTCTATCATCTACCTTTTATTTTGTTCTTTAAATTATTTATACTTCGGGCTTCTCATACATTACATTTTCTTTATCTGTTCATCTATTGATGGGCATACAGCACTTCCAAGATTTAGCTATTTTGAGTTCTGTTGCTATAAACCTGGGTAAGCACGTGTCACTGTGATATGGTGTCTTTAACTCTTTTGGGAAGATACCTAGGAAAGGTATATTTGAGTCCAGTGGAATTTCTTCTTTTACTTTTAAGGAATCTCCTTAGTGATTTCCATAGTGGTTGAAGTAGTTTACATTCCTACCATTTTGTAGTTGTCTAATAGCTAAAGATGCTGAATGTTTTTTCATGTAACTACTATCTATTTGTGTCTTGTCTTTTGAGAAAGGCCTATTTGTTTCATTTGTCTATTTTTTTAATTGGATCTTTTAAATTTATTTATTTAGTCTTTTTGAGACAGGGTCTCACTGTGCAGTTCAGGCTGGCCTTGAGCTCACTTTGTAGCCCAGGCTGGCCTCAAACTTGCAACGATCCTCCTGCCTCAGCCTCCCGAGTGCTGGGATTACAGAGGTGTGCCACCAAGCCCAGCTCTAATTGGATCTTTTAAAATGGTGCCAGGTACCACAACAGTAATAGAAATAATAATAATAATAATAATAATAATAGGATCTTTTATTTTTGAGGGCCTAAAATTTTGAGTTCTTTATATAATCTCAGTATTAGTTCTCTGAGTAGTAGGCAGACAAAAACTTTCTTTCCCATTCTGTTGGTTTTCTCTTCACTCTGGCTGGTTACTTTGCTATGCAGAAGCTTTTAAATTTGAAATAATCCTATTTGTTGACTATTGGTGTTATTCTTATGCACTTGAGTTCTGTTTAGAAACTTCCTGCCATGCTTATGTCTTCAAGAGTTTTACTTATTTTATCTTCCAGCAGATTGGGTGTTTCTGTTCTTATATGTAGGTCTCTGATTGATTTTGATTTGACTTTAGTACAGGGTGAGAGCCATGGGTCTAATTTGTTCTTCCGCATGTGCATAGCCAGTTTCCCGTGTACCATCTGTTGAAGAGGCTGCCCTTTCTCTGTTCTCCGATGTGTCCTTTTCCAGCCCCTTTGCTGGAGATCAGGTGGTGACGGTGCCGGGGGCGTCTCTGTGTCCTCCCTTCCCTTGAACTGCAGGTGTGTTTCCATAGCTTTGTAGTACCTTCATGTCTGGGACTGTGGTGTCTTCTGGTCTGTTCCTGTTGCTCAGGGTTGCTTTGTCTATTCTGGGTCTCTTCTGGTTCCATGTAAATTTAGGATTGTGCTTTCTATCCTGTGAAGAATCTTTTGGGATTGTGTTAAATCTACGTATCATTTTTGGTAATATGACCATTTAGCCAGTATTGGCTTTGCCTGTACAGGAGCAGGGCCTGCCATTTTGTGATGTTCTCCTCAGTCTCTATTTTTCAGAGTGATACAGTGTTTATTACAGAGATCTTTCTCTTTCTTGGTTAAGTCCTAGTTTTGTGGAGTTTTTTTTTTTTTTTTTTTTTAAGCTACTGTGGATGGGATTGTTTTCCTGATTTCTTTCTTGGGGGTTCATTGCTAGTGGATAGTCATTGTGGTTTTGATTGGTATTTCTCTGTGGTTAATGATGCTGAACATTATTTCACATGCTCCTTGGTCATTAGTATATCTTCAAAGGAATGTCTATAAATCCTTGGTGCAGGCCTGTAATCCCAGTACCTGGCAGGCTGAGGCAGGAGGATCGTTGCGAGTTCTAGGCCAGCCTGGGCTACAAAGTGCATTCAAGACCAGCCTTAACTGCACATGGAAACCCTGTCTCAAAAAGACAAAAAAAAAAAAATTCAGTTGACTTTCATTTTCACAGTGTCCTTTATGTATTCTAGATACAAGTCCCTTATCAATATGCAATTTTCTCTCACTTTCAGGCTGTCTTTGCATTTCCTTGAAATTGCCATTTGAAACATGAAATTTAAAATTTTGATGATGTTCAATTTATTCTAGTTTTTCCTTTGTCACTCGTGCTTTTACAACCAGAGCTAAGAAATTATTGTGTAATTTAAGGTCATGAAGATTTATGCATATGTTTTTTCCAAAAGTTTTATAGTTTTGACTCTTACATTTAGATCTTGATATTTTTAGTTAATTTTTAAAATATGGTATGAGGTAAGGATCTGTTACGGTGTTTTGCATTACTATAACAACATCCGAGGCTGAGTAACTTTCTACAGAAAAAAAGAAGCATCTACCTCACAGTGATAGAGGTTCAGGGCTCACATCTGGCAGTGATCTTGCTGCAGAGTCCTGCGGTGGCGCAGGACCTCACAGGGCCAGAGGCAGAGTATGCATGTGTACCTGTCTCTTTCTCTTCTGATACAGCTGCCAGTATTCTATCTTGGGGCTCTACCTCAATGACCTTATCTAATCCTAATCACCTCCCAAAGCCACCACTTCTTAAACATTATAATCACAGTAAGTTTTCACGCCTTAAATACTTTACAATATTAAATTTCAACACATAAACTCCTGGGAGTTACCCTCAAATCCTATCTAAAAAACAATAAAGTTTGACTTCTTTTGCCTATAGACCATTGTCTCAGCACCATTTGTTGAAAAGATTATTCTTTTATTCATTAAATTGTCTTGGTGCCCTTGTTGAAAATCAATTGACCATAAATTTGTGGGTTTATTTCTGGATCTTGATTCTGTTCCACGAAATCGTTCGGAGCAAGAGTTGATTCTGTCCCATTCTGTTTATGTTTGACCTTCTACCAGCCCCGCACTGTCCTGGGGACTCTTAATTTGTAGTAAGTTTTGATTGGATAGTATGGGTCCTCCAAGTTTTTTGTTTTGTTACGTTTTTCAAGACTGTTCAAGATATTCTGGTCCCTTGAGTTTCCATACAAATGTTAGGATCTGCATGTTTGTTTCTACAAAAAAGCCAAGTGAGATTTTGATAGAGACTGACTGCATTCAATCTGTAGATCAATTGGAGGAGGGGCTGGGGATTTAGCTCAGCGGCAAAAGCGCCTACCTGGCAAGCGTAAGGTCGTGAGTTCGGTTCCCGGTACCGGAGAAAAAAACGAAAAACCAAACCAAATCAATCGGAGGAATATTGTCATCTTAACCATGGTGAGCTTCCTAATCCATGAACATGGACTGTCCTTCCATTTATTTAGATCTTTAATTTCTCTCAACAGTCTTTTGTAGTTTTCTGAATGTATGTGTTCTAGTTAGAACTTGCTACTATAGCATAATACTTATACTGCGTAATGTATATACTTTTTTTTTTTTTCCAGTACCGGGTATCAAACTCATGACTTCGTACTTGCCAGGCAGGCGCTGTGCCTCTGAGCTAAACCCCCAGCCCCTGTAATGTACAAAAATTTAAAATAAATTTATTGCTCACAATTATGGAGGCTGGAAAGACCAGGACTAAGGCTGCAGTAGATTCGAGGGCCTGGTGTCTGCCTCCAAGGCAGTGCTTTGCTACCAAGCTTGTGGTGGGGGTGAAGCTGCTGGCCAGGGGACCACAGCTGGGGAACCATAGGTACTGTCAGTCAGTTCTGGGGGTTGAGAGACGCGAGACCACGGCATGTAGATGGACAGTAGTGACTAAGGACCCCTAAGGGATCTCTGTTTGTGTCTGGCTTGTGACGTGAGGCGGGCGGTCAGTACAGAACAGTGCATACTGACAGCCGGGGAACCCGGACGGTACCTACGCGCAGACCCGGTCTGCACGCGCTCTCCCGTGCACACCCACGCGACTGTGGGCAAGCTGTTTAACCCGAGCCTTAGTTTCTTTAAATGTGAGGAAGGCTTCATAGTAGGGCTTCGCGGGGGCCTGGAGCATCGGGTTACAGGTAAAGTCCCTGGCACAGCGCCCGACTCGCAGGGGCTCCAGGCCCGCTCTGTGTTCCGGGCCCCCTGCCTGTCGCACAGGCGGAGGTCCCGCACCGGAGCGCGGGGTCCGGACGCCTCGGCTTTGCATCGGGCGCACCCACGACCCGACAGCCAGGCCCGACGCTCTCGCGGGCGCGGGTGGCCGGGACAGGGAGGCCCGCGTCGGCGGGGCGGTCTCCGTCCTCACTGAGCGGGGCGAGGGAGGGTCCAGCTGCAGCCCGTCTGGCTCCGAACCCGGCTCTCTCCGTCCGGGAGCCCTGTGAGCGCGGCTTCTCGACGCCAGGGGGCAGCAGCGGACCGGGCCCCGTGCGGTTTACGGGGCTGGGCCGCCTCGAGCCCCGCGGGGTTACAAGAGGACCCAGAAGGCTGAGATCTCCGCCCGCTCCTGGTGGTTTCCTCGAGGCCAGGGTTTAAACGCCAGAGTAAAGCAGCGCCGCCGTCGCCGGACGGTCAACGGGCCCTCTGCACCCGACCTCTCCGACCTCCCGCTCGCGCTGCCTCTGGGGACCCCGCCCAGCTCTGCTGCGGCAGGGCCGCCGCCGGCGAGACCGCCTTGGGCGCTTCGCACTGCTCTCCCGGGGAAGTCAGTCCCAAGTAGAACACCCACACCTTGCCAGCTCTTCCGATGTGCTCCCGACACAAACAGTGGGTAGGCGATCTCGGCCATCTGTGGCTGGGGACACTGTCCCCCGCTTGGGGCTGGTGACCCTGGTCCGCAGGCTGGGCTGGGCTGGGCTGGGCTGGGGATAAGCGGGGAGACTGACCCTGAAGTGAGATGACAACCTCAGCTGCAGAAACAAGACGGGGCTTGTCCTGAGACTCTGGAGGAGGTAGTTTCCAGGTCCCAGGGGAGCTGGGTGGGGTGCAGCTCAGGTGAGCCCCAGGAGGAGCATATCAACCTGAGGCCAAAGGGAGTTGGCAGGGAATCTGGGGAACTTCCAGACAGAAGCTGACCTAAGCAGGGCAGAGGAAGTGGAATGGAAGTGCTAAAAAGATAAGATCAAGGTCAAGGTAAAATGTCAGCACATGGACCAGAAGGAAATCACACACAGACAGAACAGGAAGTTGTTTAATGGTTTAAACCTATGCAGATGACTCCAGTGCTGGAGTCATAGATCTCCTGATGGCGGCGGTTAGCTCACTTCTTTTTTATGCTTATGCACGTGAGCACGGTTTTTATCGTGAACCACAATGAACTCAAACGGGAGAATATTAATGGGCCAAGAACATATTGCTTGCAAGGTCACAAAAACGACTGATTTGTATTCATAAGCACTCTGCCGAATCCCTGTGTAGTTCTGAGTTAAATATATATACAATATATATATGATTTCTGAAACTTCATTTGCATGTGGAGTCTTGCAATAACTTCATCGGAAAGAGTAAGCAGATACTTTGAAGCTAAGAGCTATATGATCTATAGATACTCTGCTTCGCCAAAAGAGAAAATTATTTCTATTACACACTTGTTGGTACCCAAAGATAGTACAGTAGCATTGATTTGACTCAATGACTTGCCTGATGAAAGGCTTTTCTAAGTTTAAAAAAATTCCCCAGCCGAGTGCTCGGAGGAGCCTGATGGGCGTCGCACTGCAGCCAGGCGTTTCCGAAGCAGCTCCAGGGCGCCGGTGTTTCTCGCCTGCAGGTTCTGCTCAGATCTCAGCTCGCTCTTGATGGCATCAAGCTCACTGCGAATCTTCTCCATTTCTAGTTCATAGTACGACTTCACGTCTACTTGCAGGAGTGCGTTTCCCAGTTCAGTCTGACGCGCCAGCTTCCTCACGGCTTCTTTCAGACCTCTGTTCTCTAGGCTCAGCTTGCGGATGGCCTCTCTGGCCTGCTGGAGCTCTTCAGTTAAGTTTTTAACATTTGTTGTTTTTTCAGATAGGTCATTCTTTAAAGCTCGAAGTTCCCAGTCTTTCTTCAAAGTATCTGTCCCTGTTTCTTGAAAATGGAGGGATTTTGTGGAGGCCTCTTTTTTGGAGTTCAAAAGTTCTTTTTCAGCATTTTCAAATTCCTGTTCTATTTTTCTACATTTCATGTTGAGTTCTGCCAGTTCTTCATTCAGAAGGTTGAGGCGAAGTTGCGGGGACATGCCTTTGGTCAGGCTTTTCCTCGTGCCTTGCTGTGGGAGGGTTGGTGACTCCTTTCTGCACCTGCTCGAGGGGTCTTCTGTTCTCTTAAAGCTGTCTTCACTCACAACGTCCAAAGTGAAGGAGTCATAGGAGGAATTTGTGTCTGCTTCCTTCTTGGACGTGTTTATCCCCCTCCCTCGTAAATTGGGTTCTCGTTCTCTTTCATTTAGATGAGAAATATATTCTTTCCTTCTAAATTTATTTTTTTCTTGACACGTTCTGCTGGAGAAATGATAAATTCCTCTCATCCCCCTGGTCTTATCTGCAACTGTTTGTTCAGAGGAGGATTCTGTCTGGGAGGCCTCTTCTAGAACATCCTTTGCATTAAAAAAAGGAGCAAACATATTCTCCTTCCAGTGTTTCCTTCTGGCGCCCATTTTTCCAGGTACCTCTTCCAGTTCCCTTCCTCCCGCCCGGGGTCTTACACTGATTGTTGTCAAGGCACCGTCCAGACAGTCCTGTCCACTCCTCCCTGAAGCCGGTCACCAGTGGCAGGTAGTGGCCCCTTATTCAGTGCTGGTCACTGTGACCCAGCCAGGCTGGCCTGGGCTCAGCTTGTGTCCCAAGCCTGCATCTGAAATCGGAGGGGATCTGCAGAGGAGAGAAGGGACAGCAGGCCAAGAGCCAAGTCCTGATTTCCAGAATCCTCTTCCTTCTTTCCTTTTCTTCTTGCTAAGTGCTAAGAGCAGAAAACCATCCAGGAAAGCAGCAGCCGGAAACAGGTCGATCAGGAATGTGCAGCATTTTCTCCAAGTCCCTCCACCTTTGCAGGATGCCTCGTCCACAAGCCTTTGTTAGAGTCTGTCCCCTCTGCAGGCTGGGGGGCTGCAGGGACAGAGTGAGACGCTTTACTCTCGGATTTGGTGGCCTTTGGGTAGCTGCCACCCAAATTACCTCCAAAATTAGTGGTGTGGGGAGGAGCAAGAAAGCCTAACCTGGTCCTAAAAGACTTGGGGTGGTGGGCAGCGGGGTCCAGCAAGTGCCTCACATCTTAATAGGACTCTCATGGAGGGAGAGTTGGGGGAAATGCCGGAGCGGCCTCACCACAGACCTGAACTACTACTGACCACGGACAGTGCTGGGGAGGAGCTTGGGTGGAGCAATATTTTGCTGAAATACAGAAAAGAAACAAGGCAGATTGGATCATAGTGAACTTCCTTGGCAATGTCACAGAAACACCCACACGCAGAGCTCGCCCGCACTCATGTCAACAAGTCCTGGCAGAGGCTTTGGGCTTGCTGCCTGTCCCCGGGCCTGCAGGGGCACTACGTCACCTTAGCTATGGGGCTCCCAGCTGCCCTCTCCGGGCTGGCGCAGGGCTGACCTTGTGTTAGACTTGTCCTGGAGTCCCTTGTGTTCTTGGAACGGTCCCACTGCCAGGCCTTTGCTGGCTTGCTCACAGAGGTCGCCATGGACACGTGGACTCTGGAAGGGAGAGAAGTTCCACACAAGGACACGCATGCCAGGGCCTGGACGAGATGGTGGCTGGGTGCTAGCATGAATTCTGATGCTTGGGGACAAGCCATACTCTTTTCTGGTGCTCACATTCACAGGTAAAGCAGGTTTCAGGGCAGCTGGAGAGCTAGGTAATCACTGACTAGAGCTTTAAAAGAAAACTGACTTCATTGGCATAAACAGACACCCCCAGAAATGAAGTCTGACTACCTGATAGGTCCTGGGGAAATACTGCCAATGAGTGCACATTTGGAGGAACTTCGGGTTTTGATTTTTCTGATCTGGTCAGACATTGGTTTTTATTTTTTATATTTTTTATTTTTGTTTTTTTTTCTGGTCCCGAGAGTCAAACTCACAACCTTGTGCTTGCTGGGCAGGCACGGTGCCACTGAGCTAAACCCCCAGCCCCAGATATTGGTTTTTAAAGAATGAAACACACTATACAGTCGTTCACTGGTCACCTAAAACCTTCTGCGGCTACACTTCCCGTAATAGGTAGATCCCTTGGGTTTGCTAAAAATCAGTGACACCTGGCCATGGTGGCGCACATCTGCAATCCCAGCTATTTGGGAGGCTGAGGCAGGAGAATCAGAAGTTTGAGCCTAGCCTGTGAAGCTTAGCAAGATGCTGTCTCAAAATAAAAAATAAAAATTATTCCCGGGGGCGGGATGGGGAGGGACTGTAGGGAATGTGGAGTCCCATTTGGGGAGGTGAAAATATTCTGGAATTATAGTGTTGATAGTTGCACAACTCTATGAATATACTAAAAGCTACTGAATTGTACATTTTTGAAAAGGCGAATTTTATTGTATGTGCATTTAATTTTGTATTTTGTGAATTATATCTCAGTAAAATATGAAGCATAAAACTTTATTCAAGGCACACATTATGTGCTCAAGATGTACAGTAAGCACAGTGGCATAGCAGGCACGAGGCCCTGGGATTGATTCCCAATGCCTACACATATGTAGGTGTACATATATGTAAATGCACACATACACATATACATAAACATTTAAAATATAACCCAGTTAAAATGACAAGTGAAGGAGTGAAGGAGAAAAGACAACAGAAAACCTAGGAGAAAACAGTTGGTTCGAGAAAGAAAGAGAGACACAACATGAGAAAAGGAGGCCAATTTCATGATTTTTAACATAATGAAAAAATGTCTGTCATAATTCTCTGACTTTCCCTTGGGCTGTGGTTTTTAGACTGCTATTGCCTTTGAACTTCTGATTAACAAACTGGCTGTTTCCGGAGTTTTTAGTTGCTCGCAGGACATAGACGGTGCAGTGTGAGGCAGTACCAGAGCTGGGTTTGGCATCTCAAACCACGTGACGCATATTGAGACTTGTGTAGGTGCAGGATCTCCATCGTCAACGTTCATCTCGTTGCTTCTGATCACGTTGAGAAGCCCAGTAGGTGGTCTTTCTTATTCTCTGGGACAGACCCACCACTCTTGCTCATCTGGTAAATCATTTGAGGTCTTGGACATGAATTGGTCTTGACCTCCTCTCAAACTCCAAGCAGGTACTCCAAGCCTGTAGGCGTAGGGCCTGGCGTGCACTATGAGTGCGCAGTAAGTCTCTTCTCCTAATCAGAATGACCTTTCCTGTTGAAACAAAGGTAATGAGAGACGGTGGGAAAGAGGTTACTGCACGACTGTGAGAATGAGCCTCGGACTAAGAGCAACGTGGTTCTGAGGTTCTGGGCCTTCTTGGAGGTGACCACGGCCTTTCCTCTCTACTCTTTCCCGGCAGTCCACCGCCTGGGCTTCTGATTCTGCCTCAAGTGGATGCCCTTTTGTCCGTCTTCTCTCCCAGCTCAGCCCCCGTCCTCTCTAGTCTGGTCAGTTGCAGCAGCTCTGTTACAGGTTTTCTGGAGTCTTTGGGAAGCTTCAGGCCTCAAGAAGCCTTTAGGTTGTGGGTTGCCCCTGATGTCAAGGACTACTTTTATCCATTTGACTGGTGTCCTTCATACTTGCCTTTAGTCAGCTTTCCTGGGATGGGACACAATACCCAACATCCAGAACTTAAAGGAGGAGAGGTTTATTTGGTTCATGGTTTCAAGAGATTCAGTCCATGGATGGCTGGCTCCAAGAGAGGAACATCACTGCAGAAGGCCATTGTGGAGCAAAGATGCTTTTACTTCATGGTTCCTGGGAAGCAGAGCAGGAACAATGCCAGAGAGCAAGGGGCCAGGGACCAGATATTGTATCCAAGGTCACACATTCAATCTTCTAGGTGGCTCCAACACCAATCAAGTTGACAGTGAAGCTTAACCACCACAACCCCTCATCAGCATCTGACTTTGAATATGCACTCAGTAGGTGTTTGCTGTGGTGAATAAAAGCCTTTCTCAATGCCTCTGAAAGACAGAGGCAGAAAACAAAATGAGATCTCATCAAAGCAGCTGGCAGCAGCATGTGTGCCAGTGGAATAGTCTAAACAATTTGAAAGGATCAAAAACAGCTCACCGTCTTTGGCAGAGCCCGATGGCACTTGTCTGACAGTGAACATGTTTCTAGACATGTGCCCTGACAAGCGTGAGACAGGGTGCCCAAGCCTCTTTCTGTGTTCTCTCCTTTGCTTGGGATCATTGAAGTTGGGGCAGGTGCAGCAATCAAACTCTTGGTGGCCATAGTAAAATTCCTTTTATTATAAGTCATGTAAAGGCACCTAAGCAAAAAGAAGGCAGGAGCCCTGTCTCCCCACCAACACTGCCTCCTTGTTCACTGTCTTCCTTCAGCCTGGCCACGCCCTGCAGGACTGAGAGTTGCCACAGGGGCCTCGGGTTGACGCTGCTCAGGTCAGCGTCCACCTGGGTGGCCAGGGAAGCATATGGCAGGTGGCGTCCTAGACGCCCTGGCTGTGGGCAAGAGGGACAGTGCCCCCAAATAAGGGCTGCCTTTTGCAGAAGAAACAAGGTACTACGTAAGTGAAGATCATCGCCCAGGCCTGGGAGGAGTCGTAGAAACAAACCGTGGACTCAGCCTCGGTTTGCACCTTTATGTTCCAAGGGTACATTTAACGCCAGCAGCTTCAGATACTGAAGTGACTGGGAGAAATAGGAAAAAGAGAAGAAATGGACAAATTAGCAGTGTACGGGGTCCAGCCAATGCAGCCTGACACTGTTCCCACTGAGGACGTGTCCTAAAGTGAGAATTAGGGGGTCACGTGAGGTCTCATCTGCATTAGCACAATGGCTTTTCTCACCATGGAGTTCACTGCTGGAATATTTTGCACAACTTTGCACTTAACTTCAAGCCAACGCCCCTGTCTAGGGCTGAACTAAGGAAGCAGTGTCTGTTCCAGCGCTGGAGGCAAACTGCGCCTGGGTTAGGAAGAGGCAGGTGCCGGCTGGTGCTTTCCTAGATTTCTCAGGACAACTTGGCTCTGTGTGCTTTTTATCATACACATGAGTAATTTTAGGATTTAAATTCCAAAGATGTGGTACCTTATGCTTTTTTGGTGCTGTTGTTTTTCTTCCAGTACTAGGAATCGAACTCATGATCTTGCGCTTGCCAGGCAGGCGCTGTGCCGCTGAGCTAAATCCCCAGCCCTGCCTTATGCTTTTTACATGTGCATCTGCGTGTATTATCCAGAATGCAGTCTCTTTACTGATCTCAGTCCTGGAGGGCCCTGGGTGGAAACGGAAAGGATGACTGACAAGTAGATCTGTGAGATGTGAAGTAGGGCAGGATTGCCACAGACAGAGGCGTTTCTATTTGCATTGGGCTTCCTAGATTTTAATCATTTCTTAAAATTCTTCTTGATGGTTTAACTGATGTATCTGATTATAGACTACATTCTTCTGAGTCTTCAGACTCAATCACACAGCTAATTCTTAAATCCCAAAGGATCATCCCAAAGGGTGGGATTGAATTCCCCAGTCACGTGGGGCGCCTCCCATTCAAAGCAAGCCTTTGATCTTTAACTAACTCTGGCCATTAAGATGATGTTCCCTACATATGGAGCCCATATCCGAATTCCTGTAATTTACACTCTTTGATATCTGCTTCCAGGGTCAAACAAATCGTCTAATCTCTCCGCTTCTTGGCAGCATTTCAAGACTTTGAAGAGACCAGGCATGTCCCTACAAGTCTCCTTTTTATCTTCCCTTGCTTTATTTTCTCTAAGTGTTGATGATAAAAACACCAGCAATAGCCAATATTTCCTGGGTGCATAATATGTGCTAAAACAACACATACACATATATACATAGATGTGTATATATCTATTCTAAGCTATATATGTGTATGTGTATATATTTTCATATAAATCTCACAACCCTATAAGGTACTATTTCCACTTTACAGATGGCAACACTGAGACCTAGAAGAGCCAAATAATGTGGCAGAAGTTATACAGCTAATGAGCAATAGAATGGAACCTTGAACCCAGACACTTTGGCTCCTGAGCCTTTCCTTTTAATCCCGTTGCTAGGTGACACCCCTCTCAGTGTGACGCAGTGGTCCTTGTGACGCCCAGAGTGAAGTTCGGACATAGGTGCAGTCCTACAGTGCTGCCTGGCTGTGCACTGCATTTTCCTACATAGTAACTCAGTGCCACTGCGTCTCCCTTAGCCACGTGCTACGCTTCCTTGCACACCGAGGCGGGGTGCTCATCGACTTGCTTTACTGTGTGGTTCTGCCTGCCCCATAGTGAACGTGTGGAGCTGGCTCAGAGTGAGCCAGTTAGTGCAGTCATCAGCTTTCCCCCAGTACGCGGGCAGCCAAAACTATGGAGTGCTTATCGCAGAAGAGATTTCTCACTGTGTGTGAGAACCAGCTTCTCTTATGGTAATCAGAAGCCACTTTGCCATGTATGGATCTGTAGCTGCTGGTAGTTACATGTTCAAAAGAGTTAGCTACATCATATGGCTTCGTTGTTGGTTCTGTA